TTTATATGGTGTGGTGTTTATATATTATATATATATATATATATAAATTTATATTTGTATTTATATTATATATTTATATATGTATATATTAATAAATTAAGTGTTTATTTATATTTATATTTATATTTATACATAATGCTATGTATTATATGTGCCTATACGAAGTTTACCAATGTCTACACACATATGCGCTTACATAGGAGCGAGATGGACTGCAAGAGCGTGTTGAACTGCTGCTTTTCGAGTCGAATGCGGATCGGAAGCAGAAGGACTTGCTGACGTCTCTGTTCGCACAGGAACGAGAGTCTCTGGTACAGACCACGGCCGCCGAAGTGCGCGCACAAACAGAGCGGGAGATGAACGAGATAATTGGTACGGTGTCTGCATGTGTGTGTACGCAAACACGCTTTGGTTGATCTCTGTGAAGTGGGCCTGGCTATAGTTTTGTAGTACAGCCAGTTAACAGCACACTACGGTCAGTCCCTATTCAACGTTGATGCAGGCTCGCTGATGCAAACTGATCGTCGCCATGAATCTCCTCCGGGCGTCCCAGCCCCGTTCCCGTTATCGAACGTTTACGCGCATGTAATACCAATCATACACGGATAATAGAAAGTCAATACCACACACACGCCACCACACTCATCAGGCCACCCATATACGTTGGCGTTGTTCGGGGTGAACGCTTACCTTCCTGATCGCATCTCCCGCTGCAGGTGCTCGCGAGAGTGACATTGAAGCCTTACGGTCAGAGCTACTGGATCTGGAGGAAGAACTGGCCAGCTCGAACGAGACACGCGACAACCTGTCGTACCATCTCAAGAAGTACGAAGCCCGCGGACAGAAGCAGATACATCAACAACAGACGGAGCGGTGAGAAGTCGGATGAACTGCAGCTGAGTGTGGTGCTTTTGATGCTTCTGAAGTATTTATAGATGGATATATATATGTGTGTGTCTGGGTGTGCGTGTTTGTGTGTATGCTTGTGTGTGCATGCGTGTGTATGTGTGTGTGTGTATATATTTTAATAAGTGTGTGTGTGCGTGTGTGCGTGTTTGTGTGTATGCTTGTGTGTGCATGCGTGTGTATGTGTGTGTGTGTATATATTTTAATATGTGTGTGTGTGCGTGAGTATATATATGTATATATATATAAGTTTATCTACACATAAATGAGTGTGTGTGTACCTGTGTCTAATATGTATATGTATTTATTTGTATATATATATATATATGTATGTATGTATATATATATGTTTGTGTGTGTGTATCTATGTATCTATGTGTATTATGCATAAATATTTATATATATAAATATATTTATATATATATATATATTTATATATATATATATATATTTATATATATAGAGAGTATATATTCGGATGTAGGACTTAAGTATATTTTTTCTGGCTTATATTCACGATATTATGAACCAGGACCACTCACCAGGAAGAACTCGATGAACTAGAGCGAGAGAAAGACCGCTTCAAGGCACAGTATCAAGCATTGCACAAAGAGCACAGTTCTGCCGCTGATCGTATCCAAGTGCTTGAAACCCAGCTTGAATCAGAGGTACCTTCCAGTGTAAATTAGGCGTGTTTGAATGTGTGTGTGTGACGGAGGCGTGCTGTGGTTATTTGATGTTTGCACGTGTGCGCTTCTTACAGACCTGATTTGAATCATAACAACTACGCTCGAACGTATTATATTGTGTGAATGCTTATATCTTGTCGCGACAATAGCATAGGTGTGTGTGTGAACTACTAACAGCGCACTTATCCAACGATACACATAGAGTGTTGCCAAAGCAATCATCTATGATTCGTGCACCTTGTCTCTCTTCTCTGGTGATGTGCACGAGCGTCCATATGTGTGTTTACAGGGTACCAACCAACCCAAAACACAAAACAACCCAAAACAAAACACAAAACACAACCCAAAACAACCCACAAAACAAACCAAACCAAAACACTCATACAGCAAGTTTACCTCCCACTCAATCGTCCCGGATTCAACAAAAGCCACCCATTTCTCTCTCACACACCGTCCTCGCCCCATTCAATAACGACCCCATATCACAGCGCACGCAAAGGAGGGGTGTGGATATAGCGCTCGAACGCATGACCACCGACCTAGACACGGCCGAGGCTGAGCGAGTCGAACTTCGGGAGAAGCTCAAGTCCAGCCAGGCAGAGTACGAGCGCGCGTGTGGGCAAATAAAGAGTATGCGCGAAGACAACCAGCGGATTCGCGATAAGGTGGACCAGCTCTTCCGTACAGATGCAGCAGCTAAACAGGGTGTGTGTCATGCGAGGGACAGTACCACCTGGGCTACAGTAGGAGGTTATGTGTATGTGATGCATATGCAGTAGCAGTAGCGTTGAGTGCCCTATACAAACAGCTCTTACCTGTGTTATAGTAGGAGGTTGTGTGTATGGGATACCTAGTAGCGTTGAATAACCTATACATACAGCTCTTACCTGTGTTATAGTAGGAGGTTATGTGTATGGGATACATAGTAGCGTTGAATACCCCATTCATTCGTAAAGCTCTTGCCCGTGTCACTAAGCAACGCTTTCTTTTTGACTATCAGCAAGCGAGAAGCAAGATCAGTACGAAGGCTTGCTCGCCCAGGTTGAGGATATGAAGCGCGCGCACGCCAAGGAGTTACAGGTGTGTGCATGTTATGTATCGATGTATGTAGTTATATTTATAAACATATATATAAATATATATATATATATATATATATATATATATATATATATATATATATATATATATATATATATTATATATNTAGTNTATATNTATNTNTATAGTAGTATATAT